AAAACCAAAAAAACAAAAAACCCAGAACTGAAGGGCTTGAACTGGTTTCCTCTTAATAGGACCACATGATATCAAACCTTCCTCCCGGAGATCCAGACCTCAAACCCCTAGTGGTGACCCTCTGAATCCTGCCACTCTTGTTTCTCAGCAGGTGACCCTCCTCCTCCCGAGTGTGTGGCTATTCCATCTCTATCCCAGGCCAGCAGAGGTCTAAAGGAAGAGCCCTGGACAGCCCCGCTAGTGTCTGTGGGCTGATGGGCACTTTCTCACGCTCAGCCGAACACGACACGCACTGCGCGCGCGTCCTTAGCGATGGCAATCGAAGCTAAATGGCCACCACCCTGCGGTCTCCTCACCTGACTGGCAGGCGGGCTGTACTCGTCCCCCTGCTTGCCAGGCCTTTACACGTCTGCTGCTGTTTGTTGGTACCTACCAGGAGGGCTCGAGGCCTTGCCACTGGACAGAAGAGGCTGCCGGCCCTGACCAGTGTGGGCAGCTGAACTTAAGGTCGCTCTGTGAATCTGCAGGGACACCAAATAAAAGAGACACACTTTACCTTTACACAAGCTTCAGGGCGGCTTCTCCGCTCTCGGCCTCAGGCCCCCCAAGACGGAGAGCAAGAGAAAGTCCCGAGAGGCTGGCGAGAGCGAGCACGTTCGGAAGTGGGCTTTTACTGGGGGGACTCTTGTTCTTTAGAAAGTTCCATCCAAAAAAGGTCAGGAGGGGCAGGGTGACCACGGACAGGTGACTGTGACTCAACCCTGGGGACACAACCCACAGGAAGACCATCTTACTATCCGAGCTAGACTCTGCCCTAACCAGAGCGATTGCAGTGGTTGGTCAGAATCTGAGGCATCAGGACGGGAAGAGCGCGGTCATGCATTGTGGCTCCCCACAGAGGCTGCAGAGGTGACCGAAGCCCGGTCAGAGGAAGCCACTCCACATTCAGTCTCCCATCATCCATCTGAAGGGATCGCCAACCCACTTTCATTTTGGAAATCACCCAACGATGAGCTGAGGCGTCGGGCCTTCGCTGTCTCCTCACTCTCAAGGAGACCCCGGTCTTGGGGGAAAGTCCAACTCCCCATCATCGGAGCCACGTTGCAGGAGGCACCTTTCCTGAAGAGCCCCTCCCTTGGTCTGCTTCCTCGACTGGGCCCCACGGGGCTTTCTGTGGGCACCTCTCCTTCCGGCTGACCTGACGGTGCGAGGAGAGCTCTGATCCTACGAAGCCTGTGAAGGCCATGGGTCCACCAGCGGCAGCCGAGGAGTGTGGGCTCAAGGTTCTACCACATTTGGGGCAAAATCCATGTCCCTTATGAGGACCTGGAACTCAGTGCTGATACAGAGTTACGGGGACCTCCAGCATCTCCTCACCTGCCCGAGTGCTTCCTTCACTCTACAGCTGGACACACCATCTGGTGACACCTCGGTGTCCTGAGTGGACTCCCAGGGAGCTCCCCATCTCAAGGACCTGAAGTATCTCCCGTGAAGACAACAGCGATGCTAGACTTTCTTCATTTCTCTGTTATTTTACATAAATCCTCTGAGACCAACTGTCAGACTGGGCGCCCCGATCCCAGCCGGGTTTCCTAAGGAATTCGGCTGGATGGCAAATTATTGCCTCTTTCCAGCACGGCTCGGCCACCTGGTGGGCGTCTCCCTTACCAGGGAGCGACTGGATGAAGGTCCAGTCTTTAATGCGAGAACAGAAGGGGAGATGCACTCCTTGGGGACCTCTTCTTGCTGATGCTACCTGCAGCCCAGAAACAAGACCTGCTATGCCCAGTTCAGGGTCAAGCTTCTCATCAGAGCAGCCAAAATGCAGGCTTCCGCAGGCACCAGCCCCACTGAGCCCCTCTGCCCCTCATCTCCCACGACTACAGCCAGGATGTCAGAGACAGGATGGTCCTCACCAAACTTGGGATGAATACACATGGTTTCCACCCACCAAGGACATCGCAAGCAGAGAGCCCCCAACTGTTGGGAAAAGTGTGACCACACTTAGGATAAATGACCTAACCCCACCCAGGAGACAGGATGGACCCTAGGACCTCAAGGTCAACAGGTTGATATTTAAAGGTTGATGGTCAGTTGGGGCTAACTGGTTCTTTGAGCCTGGAATTAGATGGCCAGCACCCAACTGGACATAATGGTTACGTGGGACCGACTTATGGCCCTGGCTTCCTCCGGGCTGGGGAGAAGATGTACTATAGGGTACCCATGGGCGGTGGGCACAGAAACCAGGACTGCTGCAGACCTCCCAATCTCAAGCAGAGGCAGGGAGATCCATTTACACTGTACGGCCATTTAGCTTCCCGGTCGGTCCCCCAGGTGGGGACAGAGGATGTAATAGGCCCAAGGACCCTCTGGCCAGCTACACCCGAGGAGCTCTTACTGCCATTGCAAAAGGTGCCTCTCCCTAGCACAGGGGGCACTCCTGAGAAAGGAGTCTCACAGCACCCAGTGGCCCTGGTTGCCTCGCCAAGCCCGGAGCAGAGCTTGTGCTGCCCACATTCCTGAGGGCCCTGACAGTGTGACCAGGTCCCCACAGATGTGCACTCCCACGGCGATGGGCACTGCGGTGCCGTTCTCAGACTTGCTGGAGTGTCTGGGTTTCCGTGCGGCACTCATCTCTCCTGACAGTTGCTGCAGTGGCACCCCCTTCTTCACAGAAAATCTTAGTTAAGCTTCTCCACAGCCCTCACCGTAATTATTCTTAGACTCTCAGCAAAATTTCTGTAATAGAATTTTCAGGCAGGGCTATGCCTGCAGAAACACCGTGGGATGGGGAAGACTAACCCTGACCTTTCAGTTAGGTCCTTGAAAGGCAGCTGGTGGGAGGAAGGGGAACCCTTTCCCAGCACTGATTTTCACTGAGAGTGTCTCTGCATTCCACGACTAGACACTCAGGGTCACCCCAGTGAACTGGGCTGCATGAAATAACCACTCAGAGACAGAGAAGTACCTTTATCTTTGGGTCCTGTGATGGCCCCTCTGACCTTAGGGGTCCATGGAAAGAGACAAAGAGGAGCTCGCACTGAACCCTTTTATTGGGGAGAGGCCATTCAAATGAGGCAAGGGTTAGGGTTACAAGGGGACAGGTGAGTGCAGCTCAACCCCTCTGAGCGCCCCCTGCTCCTAGGGCCATGCCTTGATATCCAAGCAAGGGAAAAGCCGGAGTCCCGAGTCACAGCACTACCAGCCACTCTACAGTGATCTTTGAGGTCCCCGTGGTGCATCAGGACTTAAAGGTGTGTGCATTTGGAGTGGCTCCCCACGGTCATCCTTGAGGTTATTTTTGTAAAAGTATGGCCTGAGTTGGGAGCCCAGAAGAGAGAGAGAGAAAAAAAAAAAACTGCTGTTATGTGAACTTCTGCAGACTGTGAACTTCTGAGCCCTCCCCTTGCACACTGCGTATAAAGTTCTAAAACTTCCTGAACTCGGGGTTCAGGGGTATTGATAATGGCAAAAGGTTTTCCCTCTGAACCTGGCTGTAGCCAATAAACCTGCTTCCTGTTATCTCTCTGGTGTCTGGCCTTGTCTGTCTCTACAACATATGTCTTCTTGTTTTTCTCATAGGACGTCCATCCCCCAGATGGTATAATCTTTGTACTGATTCAGATTTACTATGACCTCTGGTATAGACCTTTGTTGCAGTAATTCACTTGCAGGTCAGCATGGGAAAAGAAGGAAGAAGCAGAGCAAGCTAAGCAGCAGCAGAAAAAAAGCCCTTTATTGTATACAGCCATCTTTTTATAGTATTGTGAACAAAGAAGGCAGCCTTCCAACAGCAATGAACCAGGTCTTTCAGCTAATTAAACATAGCACACAGAAGTTTTACTTTCTGATCAGAAGTGACCCGCTTCTCATGGCTAATCTATTCTTGGCCCGGAGTATGTTGAGCTCTGCTCTTTGTTAAGAACAGATAATAAAATTTTTCTCAGCGCCCTCCTAGCCCACTTGGCAGAACATCCCGTTTGCAGGCAAGTCCTCCCAGGGACAGCAGACACCTTGTTTTCAAGCATGTCCGCAGTTACCTTATCTAAACCTTGAAGGAGCCTCTCGTTTGCAAGTAGGCCCTCCCAAGGACAGTAGACACCTCGTTTTCAAGCATGTCCGCTGTTACCTATCTATACCTTGACAGAATATCCTGTTTGCAGGTAGATTCCATCAAGGACAGTAATAGTAATGCAGTTACATTTGATTCTCTACAGACCTTGATCGTAATCAAAGCATTCCCCTTCAGATAGCAAGGACTGAATGTTTGTGTTTTGTATTTTCCTTACAGAACTGTTGCTGTTAATGTTTTGCAGAAGTGCTGCTTCTAATGGAGCAACCTGAGTTAATTTGAGATAATAAGCCACCACCTACAGGACAGACAGAATATGAAGCTGACTTCCAGTGCTAATGCTGACCCCAATTAAATGGAACCATAAGACTATAGACATTGAAGTTAAGCCCAGTACTCCCACTTCAAGATTGGTGAAACTGGCCTGTTAAGACCAAATCCTGGAGACCAAAGTTAAGGCAGTAAAAGGACCAAGGAAAGAGTAGCCAATATTTTGGCCCTTGCCCTCTAAGGTCAGCCAGGGCCCAGGGAACGACAGGAGCCCTCTAAGGGCTGGCCCTACGACTCTGGTGACTCACCTGACCTCCTGATCAGGGAGATCAAGAGGACCCTGGAGAACAGGAAGCCAACCAGTGCACATTCTGCAAAGAGGATTGTCACAGGAGAGGAAAATGTCCCTGATGGTTCCAAGGGAAGCCACACACGGTCAGTAAGACCCTGACCCATCCTGGCAGATGGCACCACTGGTAGAGGAAAAGCCAAAGGAGCCAAGAAGCTTGTCACAAGTTCCCAAGAGTGACCCCTGACAAATCTCAGCTGACTCTTACAGTCAATAGAAAAGAGGTCAATTTTGACCAATTTTGACCAGGTCTTAGACACTGGCAGGAGAGTATAACCAAAGCACAGACACACATGGACATTTAAAAGATAAGACAATGGTTCTTTACTTGAGAGGTACATTTTCAGTCCTCCTAAAAGTAAGTTCAACTGTGAGTTTATAAAGGAAGGGTTTTATGCAGGAGGGCCTGATGAATATCACAAAAGCTCTGTCAGAGTCACGGTTTGTTCTGAGTCAATTTGAGACCTATCTGTGCTTCGTTGGCTGATATGATTATTATGAGCTGCTGCTCGGAGTCCTCTTTTGGAGTTTGCAACTCGTCACTTCCAGCCTGGCAGCTTGATTTTAATCAAGACCTGGAAAGAAGACAAGCTTTAACTGAGCTGGGAAGGACCTCAGCAAGCCTCCTGATCACTGGTCGGCTATCTGAACTGCCCAGAGGGCAGAACTCATTACCATGGGCAGTTTCCTCCTCAAAAAGTTAACCCGTTCAGGACAGATGTCAGTACCAAAGGATACGAGAACAAAACTGAAAATGAGACCAAAAGATATAAAAAGGGGGACTTGTGAGAAATAGAAGCCAGTGGTCCATTTTCAGAATATAGCATTTAGCCTTAACTGGGATGTAAGATCCAATTGTAGCCACTTGAACTACAGCCCTTCCCTTTGCCCGCCCCAGTTTTAAAATTAGCCAATCTCGTGGACTGTGACCCCAAGCCCCTCCTATCAGGGCAAGAGCCCGGGCTGCATCAGGGATAAAAGCAGGTGGATTTCCACCCAGGTGTGCTTGCTAGCCAGGGTGTCGCAGCCCTTCTGCAGGTCATTTGCCTTGCTGAGTAACTTGAGCATGTTTTTTATTGCAGCACCCCAGTAATTCCAACAGAACCCCCAAGTACAGGGAGTGTGCCCACCACTGAGGGTGGAACCCCCAGGAAGGAAACAGCTCTCAGCCACAGGTCCATGCGTGCCTGCACACATTGACCCTGGGCACCAGTGTCTGTTAGGGTAGGAGACCCAGGATAGAGAAGCACACCCCCTGGCTGCCCCGGGGGCCAGGGGCCAGGCAGGGGTCTTCCTTGCATGTGGGGACCTGGGATGGGGATGCTCTGGGGTCTAAAGCAGAACTTTGGCTCAGCTGACTGTCCTGCTCCCACAGGAAGCAGCACCTGGAGCCTTCAGGGGTGCCAGATCCTTGGACTCTCCACTGGGGCCCTGGTGACACCAGGTGGACTCTGTCAATTTGTGCCATCACCTTTGGAGTGTCACAGGTCACCTGAGCACACGTAGGCTCCCAGGTGTGCTCAGGTGACCTGTGACACTCCAAAGGTGATGGCACAAATCAGGTCCCAGCAGAAGTGACCCAGAGGACTGGGGTGCTGCCAGCTCAGGCTCAGCCCCAGCCCCCACCAGAGGTCCTGTCCTTCCTTCCTTGGGTCCCGGCCTGCAGGCCTCCCTGGCCCACCTCACTTCATTTTTGAGAGCTCAAGCTGAAATGGCTTCAAAATTAAAAGCAACTTCCTGGTGAGTGTTTTTTCTGCATCCCAAACTTCCTCCTGCTGAGAATGGAGACAGAAACACTCCCCACAGGCCCTGAGAGCCCAGGAGGCTGGAGCCCGCATGCTCTCTGGCCTGGTTAAATCTGCATGTCTGTCACCTGGCTCCCATATCTATGAATTATTACCTCTTGGCAGATAATCTGCAGCACGTAGTCTTCAAAGGAGACACTTTTCAAACCCCACCCAAACAGTCCCAGCAGCTGCAGGGAGCTCTTCTACAAACCACGCCCCAGTCCTTCACCTGCAGAGACAAGCCTTCAGGTGGTTCCCCAGGAACCACGTGCTGAGGGCTACACTGACTGGGGAATTGAAACGGCCACTTCCTGGTGCCTGCTTCTCGGCATCCCCAACTTCCTGAGAATGGAAACTGCAACTTTATCCACTGACCCAGCTGAAACCGCCCTCCGCTAGCACAGCTTGGCTAAATCAAGATCCATCCTGCCCCGGCCTTGTGTCTGTGGAGCATGTCCTCCCCTGCAGGATCTGGGGGGACACGTCCAGTGGCTTTGCCCCGGAGACAGTGCTCATCCTGCTCACCTTTCCTGTTTGTTAAGGGAGCAGGTAGCCAGAGGAAGCCAGAGGATCCCGGCAGGTTCCCTGGCTTGGCGTCAAGCAACCATGCCGGCCAAAGCACTCATGTCTAGAAACTGTAACAGACCCAGGGCCACCTGATGTGTGGGACACCACAGAGCTCTGCTTCACAGCCAGAAAAGACTCCGGGCCTCAGGGACCCATGGCACACCTACCGCTGGCCCTGAGAATGACGGTGGAGTCCTGCACAACCGCAGGAGGAGCCGGGAGCAGGAGCCACAGAGTGGGAACAGGGCCGTGGCACTGCGCTCGGCCATTCCTGCTGAATGAGGAACTAGGTAAACTAGGAAACCATAACCAAGCCTCCAAACACCTGGGAAAGAAAGGCACTGAGACTCCAGCACCGCCTGGGGCAGAGGTGGACAAGAGCTAAGCAGCTGTCCACTGGGCAGTGCCATCTCTGGGCTGTGCAAACGGGGAAGGGACCTGTGCTGGGCAGGGTGAATGTGCCTGGGCACATGGAGTCTCCGAGGCTGAGTGAGGAACAAACAGAAGCCACCTCCGGGAACCCTGGGTGGGGTCATCAGAAGGGCTGCTACGGCTGTCCTGGTCCCTTCTCTTCAACACACACAAATGGTTCTGGTTTTACCACGTGCAAAGCTTCACAAGACCTTGCAAGCAAGAGACTACAAAGGCATCTCCGAGGGGGAAATGGGAGATGGCGAGCTGCCCTGGGACCCTCACCAGGGGGACACCTGCCTCCCCAGCCCGAAGCCCCTCACCACGGAGACACCTGCCTCTTAACCTGGGAGTGTCCAGGGGATGAGGCCCAGAAGCCACTGCTGACTTGTGATGAGGCCTGGTCCCTCTCTTTGGCATTGGGCAGGACCTGGGGGTCGGTGACCCTCCAGTCCCCACACAGGGTGGTCTTGTAGGGGTCTCTGGGTATCAAGCACCTGCTGACATTCTGGTTGTCAGGGGGCTTCACTGGGTGGACCAGCCTCTGGCCTCTGTGCCCTGGCATGGGGCTGCTTCCTCACTGACCCTGGTGCTCATTCCGAAGCTGTGGACTGCGGGCTTCCTGTGCCCACTGGGAGCAGGCCGCTGCTTCGAATGACCCAGACAGACTGGCTGTCTGCTGCCCAGCTCGGGCTCCAGGCTGCCAGCCAACTCTCAGGCTCCATGACCCAGGTAAGTGGCCCATCCCAACTCGGGTCACCTGGAAGGTCCCCGAAGCTCTGCATGCAAGGTGACTGGGACGAATGACCTGTCACCTCCCAGAAGCTGAGGGCTCTCAGAATAGGGTTCCTTCTACTTCCTCCTGTCCTCGTGAAAATGGGGTCACCACATCTCTCTGTCACCTTCTTTGGCAAGAACCCCTATGTGTCTGCAGTCCATGGGGCCCCTCCTTGCTGTCCCAAAGGTCCCCTGCCATCCCTGACCCTAGGCCCTCCCTGCCAGCATGTCTCCTTAGGGTCCACAGAGCAGAGGCCCGGTGACCTCCAGGGTTCCCCACCCCACATGCGGCCCAGCACGCCATCTGCACTTAGCCCTCAGGGACAGGCCACAGACCCCCAGAGTCCCCAGCAGGCCTAGAGACCTGCCCCTCCACACCGTCCCCACCCCTTTCCTGGCTCTTAGAAGTGCAGGTCACGTTGCTGCCCAGTGGCCCCCAGGCCACTCAGGATGGAGGCGACTCCTTTTCCAGGTCACCTTAGCCTTTTCCTGCCTCCACCTGCCAGGCCAGCCCCCAGCTGCATCCCGGGGTCTCACCTGTGATTCCTGGGACCACCTGAGGCCTCCCTCCCTGCCCCAGGGGTCATCTCAGGGTCAGGGACTGGGCTGGACCCACATACCCCCAACTCAGAGGGAAGCTGGGCTTGGAGGACTGAGCAGTGTGACCACCAGGAAGGACGAGTGGACGAGGCCCAGAAGCCACTCCTGACTTGCGCTGAGGTGTGCAGCTGAGGCAGCCTGAGGCTGAGAGGCTGGACCTGGGCCAGCATCTGCCAGCTCCTGCCAGGAACTCCAGGCGTCCCAGCCTCCCTCTGCCTTCCCTGCTTGGTGACGGCTCCTCCCAAGAGGTACCAGAGCCCTTGTGCAGGAGTGGGTCACAAATCCCTGTGAACTGGGCCCTCCTGGGCCTCTCCCAGGTGGGCCAGGGCTCTCAAGGTTGTGTCCACAGAGCAGGGGCCGGTGTGTCCACAAAGCAAGGCTCCTTCTGAAACAGGCACTTTATTTTGTGGTCAAAAAGGGCAATTAATGCCTTGTACGGTGGCACACGCCTGTAATCCCAGTGGCTGGAGAGCCTGAGACAGGAAGATGGTGAATTCAAGCCAGTCTCCGTAATTTAGCAAGGCCCTAATCAAATAGCAAGACCTTGTCTTAAAATAAAATATAAAATAGTCTGGGGATGTGGCTCACCCCTGCTGCGCCCCTCCCCTGACTCAGGCAACGGCAAGGCCCTACTGAGGTGGATGGCGCAAGGCGTCCATCCTCTGGAGGAGCGCAGTATGTTTCTGGGAATGGGCTGGTTTGTTTCTGTATTCCTTTAGTAAGTATAGTTGCGACTTCTCATATGACCATTAAGTATGAAGGAAAAAACATGACTTTCCCAATTAATGCAACTACTTCTAAAGAATAGATCTGTTTGCTCTAAATGCAATGATTCAGCTGTGGAACGTAAATTGTTAATGTTTAATGAAAAACCCCCTGTAGGAAAAACAATCAAGGAAGTTTTTGAGAAATTAAATTAAAGTCTAGAGAAGAAGAATTCATGTTAAGAAGACAGATTGGTGCTTGGCACTGGCAACTTGTTCTTGTTCCTGTGCACAGTGGTTTGTGCTCTTGCTCTTGTTTGATTAAAATTAGTAGCCTCTCTTTTCAAGTTAACCACTTGCTGTAACCATGGCACGATTCTAGTCAGTAAGTCAAGAAACAATAGTCAAGGTATAGGCCAATAGTCTGGGACGTTTCTGACTATTATTAAAAGTTAACTCAGCAGAAACAGCTCAAGGCAAAACGCAAACTGAAAGTAAAAATGCTTGCCTATGTATAAGCCAAGATACACTCTTCTTATCTAATTGTAGCTACGTAATGTTTTGTTTCTTTGAATAATGATTCCTGTTTTGTAACCACAAAGTACTGTGAGCCTGCCAAAATGAAAAGTATATATGAAACCTCACAAGTAAAGATGGGGACTCGCACCTTCACTTTTGTGTCTGTGTTGTTTCTCCACCCCTTTTCGCCCACCATCTGTTGTCTCCTGAGACCCCCTGTTGGAGCTGGTCTCCAACACACCCCTGGGTTCAACCCCAGTACAAAAAAAAAAAAATGTCAGTTAACCCTGGGGCTCTCCTGCCGCCTAGTCCACCCAGCTGCCTGCCCTGCCACCCCCCAGCACTGCCTGACAGCCACCCGCCTGCCTTTCCCCCAGCCTCAGCCCTGAGGCGCCTGGTGGATCCTGAGCAGCCACACAGCTCGCCCAGGGCACTGGGGGACCCCGCTGGCCCTGATGCCTGCAGAGCAGGGAGCCCACCGGCTCCCCAGAGGAGCAGCCCTGAGCCCTGGGCAAGGGACTTCCCGCCCGGCTCTGCTGGAGGGAGTCTCCCCTGCCCCCCACAGGCTTTGCAGTGCACGGCTCTGACAATCAGCCTTGGCAAGAGCGCTACCAAGAAGGTGGCACGTTCTGAGGAAACGGCATAGTTCCAGGAACCCGGTGGCTTCCCAGAACGGTCTCCTCCCTGCTTAGGACGTCCCCTGGCTCGCACGAGACCTGCCTCCTCCCCTGGCCCTCCCTCTGGGCAGAGCAGAGAAAGCCCTGGCGGGAGGCCCCAGGGGAGCAGAAGGAGGCGCAGGAGCAGGAGGCAGCAGGTGAGGGGCTGGCGTGGGCGGGCAGAGGACCACAGCTGGCACCTGGACACTGCGGGATCTGCAGCACCGTGGGCAGGACTGTGGGGATGGGGCCTCCTGTCCTGGCTGCAGCCCCTCCAGGACACTCAGCCCCTGGCCGCCTCCTGCTCAGATGGGCCTGGGTTGCTCAGGGCTGGGGTCTGGCCAGGTCTGCAGGGCACAGGGGTGCAGGGGGATGGGCAGGCTGGGGGGACAGGACCCCGCCTCTCCTGGATCCCCAGGTGGGCTCTGGGGGTCCTCTGTGGGTCCCCCACTTCCCACCTTATGTCACTGCGGAGCTGTGCTCCAGGGCTCAGCAGGACCTGTGCAGGACACACTGCACCCTGCCCACTTCACCCCAGGTTGCCTGGAGGCGGAGCTGGCTGGGAGGCTCAGGGCTTCCCAGCATGAGCCTGGCTGCAGGTGTGGAGGAGGCCAGTGAGCCCTGAGGGAGGAGGACAGGGCAGCCAGGCGGAGACACAGAGTGACCAGCCTGAGGCGGGAAGGGCTGTCTGGCTCAGGGACTCTGTGGCCCCTGGGTCCCCTCCCGGCCTGCCTCAGCAGCAACCAAGACAGGAGCCCCGGCTGACTGTGCCCTGGCTGCCTGTGCCCTGGCTGACTGTGCCCCCTGCTGCCTGTGCCCCTGGCTGAGTGTGCCCTGGCTGACTGTGCCCCGGCTGCCTGTGCCCCGGCTGACTGTGCCCCCCGCTGCCTGTGCCCCGGCTGACTGTGCCCCCCGGCTGACTGTGCCCCGGATGACTGTGCCCCGGCTGCCTGTGCCCCCGGCTGCCTGTGCCCCCGGCTGACTGTGCCCCCGGCTGCCTGTGCCCCCCCGTTGCCTGTGCCCCGCGGGCCGTGGTTTTGCAGGCTTCACTTTCTCTTTTCTGAGAATTGTGGTCAGTTCCTTGCAGTGCTGGCCAGCAGTACAGCTGGTCAATGCTGACAGAGGCCTCTCTGTGTAGACAAGGAAGCATGCGGCTTTCTCGAGCTCCTGCAGCATGCAGGACATGAGTGCGGCTCCCTCAGGTGTGGTGGAAGGGGAGACCCCCAGGGGCCTCGCTGGTCCCCAGTGCACCCAGACCCCAGGACTCCCAGGCACCCACAAACCAGCTCACTGATGTCGCCTAGGGGGCAGGGCATGCAGGGCTCCGAGGAGTGGGCTGAGTGGCCGAGAACTTAAATCTGTGTGTCATGCTTGGTCAGGTTGCTGCCTGGCCCCTGTCTTGTGGCCAGCATCTGGTGGGTGCTGGAGAGAGCTGTGCTTCTCGCCCTCTTCTGACTAGAGGTGGGCGTTTGCATGCTCTGCTGTCCCTGCCCTCCACAGTGAGCTGGGGTCCTCCCACCTTCTGGCCTCCCACTTGGCCAGGCCACCTGGGCCCACAGCAGGAGTCCAGCCACCTTCCCCTCCCAGGGCAGGCACCCTCAAGTGCAGGGCATCCCCCAAGTGGGGCTACGGGGGATGGAGAGCAAGGGGCAGCCGGGCAGGAGGAAGGGAGCGTGGGAAGGGAGGTGGCCGGTCAGAGAAGCGAGAGGGCTCTGGAGTGGGGTGGATGGGCCCTCAGTGTGGCGCCCACACGGCTGAACGCAGGTAGAGAGTTGCTTCTTAGTTCAGGTATGTCCCAGATATTGTACTTGCTGCAAAACGAGGGCCTATCTGATCTCAGCCGTAACGGGGCATCCCGAACGTGGGGAGGGCTGTGGCACCAGGCGCGTTTCCACCCAAAGAAACATTGCAGATTCCAGGTCGCCACTGAGTGTCACTGCTCCGAGGAGCTGGGCCTCTCAGTGTGAAGCCTCGGGAAGAAGGAGACCCACCGCGGTCCTTCCCGTGTCTATGCCCCGACCCTGAGTCCCTAAAGGTCATTTTCAGGCCTGTCCCTGGGGCTTCCTGCTAGCATAGGAAAATTCCAAAATGCAGCAGAAAGCTTGTCCTTGCCACTGCCAGAGTGACCTCGGCTGGCCTGTCCCGGGGCTTTCTCTGCACCTGCCAGGTGTTGGTGTGTGGCCTGGGAGGAGTCTCAAGGCAGGGAATTCAACCAGCTCCTGGGATCTCTCCAGCCCAGTGCTGGTCCAGCCACCCTCCACCCCTGCTGGACAAGGGTCAGGGCCTAGGTGCCGCAGGAGATGCCACGAGAGGGTCAGTGGTCAAGGTGTTGGAGTAAGGAAGGCCAGAGGGGCACTGAGTCCTCAGGTGAGAGGCGGGAAGCACCCATGTGGCTGGAGGGACGCGGGGAAGTTCCCAGAGCCCAGGAGTCCAGGTGGCTGGGAGCTGGGACCCTGGAGGAGGCACAGGCCCCAAAGAGAGGAGAGTGCTTCTCTCCCTGCTGCCCCAGCCCCGGCCCGGCTGGAAGCAGGAGGCTGAGGGAGGCAGATGCTGAGCCCGTGCTCTGCAGAAGCAGGAGCCAGGCCAGGCTCTCCTGAGCTCCAGGGCAGAACAGGGCCAGTGCCAAGTCGGTCAGGTGAGGAAGGTGGACACGGCCACTGCCCAGGCAGGAGGAGCTGGGTGCTGTCTGGTGTGTGTGGCTGGCCCACAGAGCCTCCAGGACCTGGCCACTGAGATCTGTGGTTCCATGGTCCACTCAGGACACAGCCAGGTGCAGCTCTCTGAGATGGCCAGACCAGGTCTGTCCCTCCACGAGAATGGAACCCAGGCAGGACCAGCACCCCACAGGGAGGTGGGGAAGTGTAGGCAGAGTGTTCTAGGGGATTTCCAGCTCTGAGCCATAAAGATCCATGGTGGCCTTTAGTTGGGTGGCCAGAGTGCTGACCTGTGACTCACTCCTGAAGGTTCAGAGTCCCTGGAAGGAAGATCAACACAGACACAGCCCAGCTTCCTGCAGAAGAAGGGGTTCCCCGGGCGGGGCAGTAAGGGAGACCCAGTGCTCTGGCAGACCTGGCCTCCCCGCTGCTGGCCTGGAGGCCTGGAGGGAGGCAAAGCAGGGGCTCCTGGGAGAAGGACGCAGGGTACCTTCAGCTCTGAACAGGGAGAACTCACCCAGCGTGGGAGCCAGGAGGCACGCCCTCCCTCCCATGGCTGACCTCAGTCCCGGTCCCCAGGGCAGCTCAGTCCCCACCTCCAGGCCAGGGACACCTGCCCAGCACCAGCTGGGCCCCTGGTTGTGAAGCTGCCCCCAGATCCCACAGTCCTACCTGATGGCCTGGGTGGCCCCAGAGCCCGTCAAAGTGCAGACTTCAGAAGAGGTCTGTGAACACACTGAGTTTCGGTCATCCTACAGACTCTCTGGTGCCTGGTCAGCAACACAGGGGCTGTGACAGAGGCCATCACATCAGCCCAAAGCAGAGGCAGCCTGAGGGGCAAAGGCAGGGGCACACTCAGGGTCCTCCTATGTGGATTCTGAAGCCTTCTGGGGCTTCCATGGAGGCGGAGCACAGGAGAGCATGAGGAGAGGTGGCCTGTGGATGTCCAGGGCTAGATTCACGGACCCTGCTGACTTGGGCAATGTGGCTTGGACGCTGACCAGTGCCCTCAGCCAGCCAGGACTCTGGCCTCCTGGGGACGATGTCGTGGGCTGTCAGGGCCAGTTTTCTACTGGGGACAGCGGACGCCCTGGTGGATGGTGGTGGCACCTTCTGCTGTGATTTCTCATGGCCTCTCACTGGGGTCTGGGACACACACGAGCTGTGCCTCTGAAGGAGACTCCCAGGAACATCCCCCTCGAGGCAGGAAGCAGGCTCTGCTTAAGTCGGGGCATAGCCAGGACAGGGGCTGTGAGCCGTGCTGGGCGGCAGGCCAGCTGGAGGACACCCTGGCTGGGGCCCAATCCCAACTGGGCAGCAGTCGGGGAGCACCCTGCCTCCTCCCGGGAGCAGAGGCAGAAGGACCTGGGGACTCAGGGCGCCCTACAGACCAGGAGGAGCTCTCAGGGCAGCCCCCGCCAGCAGCTGTGGCTCGGCCATCCCTCTAGGACACGCAGGTGGGTGGTCCCTCTGAGTGGTGTGCAACTCCAGGCCAGCTGCAGGGGACCACCCAGTTCCGCCTGTCCAGGGGACAGACCTTCTCCTGTCTTCCTGTGATTCCCTTGGTTCCTGTGGCCGGGGCCTCACACATTATGAAGCACAGGGACAGGAAGGAGGGTGGCTGCTGGGGACCCAGACACTGGGAGGAGGCTCAAGCATGGAGGACACAGCTCGTCCAGGGGAAGCTTGGCCCCTGGGCTGCCCAGCCCCTGGCCAGGTGGAGGCCGCTCCCGGCAGCCTGGGACCACCTGGGGACTTCTGACCCCCGGGTCTCCCTCCCTCCCTTCCACAGGGAGTGTCCCAGAAACCGGTATCCAGGACAAGGGACCCCTGAGGCCTCCCCCATCAGCCAGCCATGCGGACCTGGCCCTCTGTGTCCCCCAGACGCATCCCCCAGCCCTGCATTCCCAGCATGCTCGGGATCCTCCTGCTCCTGGTGGCCTCCCTGAGTGCTCAGAACACAAGTAGGTATTGGGACTCTGCCCCTCTGCCAGAGAAGGGCTGGGGACACAGGGGTGGGAAGGGCAGACCAAGGTCAGGCCCAGAACTGACCCACCCCAAGTGACGACTGTGACCCTGCAGACCCAGGCCCATGGGTGAGAAGCCAGCTGGAGACCCTGGGTCTTGAAGGGGCAAGCCCCGTGTACCCAGGACAGCAGGGCAGGCACCCCAGCAATGCCTGCTGGCCACTGCCGGAGCATCAGGGGGTGCCCAAGACCACGTCCAGGCTCCAAGGCAAACAGGATCCCTGAGAGTTGGGGCGGGTGCCATGGCCAGGGAACGAGAGGCTCCACGGGACCGAGTTCCTCCCAGCAAGGTCCCTGATCCACCCTGGTCAGCAGCCTCAGCATCACTGGGCCTTAGACAAGCAGACACTCAGAGCACTAGAAGGGAAGGTGCAAGGCACAGGGTCCCCAGTGAGTCCCCGTGCAGCTCTCCAGATCCAGGTTGGCTGTGCAGAGAAATGCCCCCAGGGCCACCCAAGGCACCAGTGTCCTGGCCACTCTGATAGCCAATGGGGACAGCAAGAATTTGGGTCAGATCCCCCAGGAGGTGCAACTGGAGACCCTAACACCACAAAGACCTCCCTGGGGCCCATGTGGTGGCACGGCACAGGGCAGGGAGCTGCAGGGACATCTGGCTGACCAGCTGCCTCCTGCCCAGTGACCAGCTGGTGGCACACACGCCTGGCACACGGCCTCCCTCCCTGCGGTGTGTGTCTGACTGCCACCCCAGCTCTGTGGGCTTTGATGGACCCTATCCTGGCGTGAGTCACATGTAGAGTCCCTGGAGGCGCTGACACCACCCCTGCCCCGCCCAGGCCCCGCCCTGCCCACAGTGTGACCCTCCCCTCCACACAGGCTGGGACAGGCCCTCTTGCACAGAGGGCGTGGTGTCCGTGCCCAGGGGCCAGCCGGCGGCGATGGCCTGCAACATCTCCAACACCTTCTCCCGCATCACCATCCGGCTGCGCGCCCACGGAAAGACCGTGACCATCTTCGAGGAGCGGCCCCCGGGACGCTTCTCCAGGGGTGGCTGGAAGCTCCAGGTGCACGGAGGCCGGGCCCGGCTGGTGATCACAGCCGCCCAGGACGCCCACGCGGGACAATACGTGTGGCATCTGCGAGGGCTCCAGAGAACCAACAGAGCCACGTATCTGAACGTCTCAGGTGAGGCGCGCCCGGGGCGCGGCCAGAGCCAGGGCCAAGCGGGAGGGCGGGCCAGGGGCGGAGCATGGGGAGGGGCTGGGGGCAGCAGGGGGCTCCCCACTGGGAGGGGCAGCGGCCAAGGAGCAGGAGCAGAGCAGAGGGCAGAGTCCAGGGCAAGACCCACAGCGCAGGCCTGAGTCCTGACCAGACACAGCAAGCAAAAGAGTCCCTGGCCCCCAGCTCCCGTGCGCTGTCCCACCCTCTCCAGACCTGCCCGCCCAGCGTGCCCGCCGCACAGCTTCACCCTGAACCCCGTCCCCATAACAAGGGCAGTTTCTCCTCAGACCACCCCCCCCATTGCCCTCCCGTCCTCACCCAGACACACCCGCCCAGCACCTGCTCCATTCCCCCACCTTCCTCCCTTCCCCCACCTGCTCCCCCAGTTGTCCACAAATAGAAGGGGCCACAGCAAACGTCCCCCTCTCCTGCGGCTCTGTGCCCCCAGGCCTCACAGGGCCCGCAGGTGTCCTGGGTGCCATCGCTTCCGTGCCCAGTCAGGCCCCTCCCAGCCTAAACCCACTGTCCACCTCATCCTTCCCTACAAGATCCAAGGTCCCCATGCCCCCCACTGGTCTAATCCACCCCTGTCACCTGAGCCCAGCTGGCAGTGTCTGTGATCTGGCCCCTGGAGGGGACCCAGGGAGCCCTACCCCTGCTCATGCTGCCCCAGAGGTAGAGGGACACCAGGGCTCTGTGCCAACGTGACAGTGTCTCCCCAGCAGAGTCTCAAGACCAGGAGGAGGCAGCAGGCCTGAGGCCGTCCACACCTCCCTGGGGTAGGTGCTGCATCCCTGTCCCTGAGGTGCCACCCCTCCCCTGGCTCCTCAGTGCTTGGCCCACCCCAGGGCCACTGTGCCACCTACCAGCCTCCCTCATCCCAGTGATGTCCCTGCCCAGGAGGGTGGGCTGGGCAGGCAGGAGGCGGTGGGGACACCACTGTGGCCAGTGAGTCAGTGAGTGATGCGTGGAGTGACCAGCGATGCAGGTGACTCTGCCCACCTGTCCTTCCCAGGCACTGCAAGCCAGGTCCCAGGCTCAGAGAGGCTGCAAGCCAGGTCCCAGGCCACGCCCCAGGCCATGGTAGGGGCGCTGGTTGCTGTCCTTCTCTTGATCCTGGTGGTGGGCTCCCTTGGCTGGTGTTGGCACCGACGTTCTCTGAAGTTGGTGCAGGTAAGAGGCCTCCATGTGGTCCAGGGCAGGGTGGAGGTTTCCCTGCGTCCTGTACTGGGCAGTGGGCCCCTGGGTCCTGCACCCCCAGTGGCTCAGGGACACAGTGGGGCTCCCAGGCCACATTTTCCTAAGACCCCAGCTGGCTGTAGCCAAACCACAGGCCTGACTTGTGCAGGCGCAGAGGGGCCCCTCTGTCCCCAAGGCCTCACTTGTCCCCAGGAGAGCAGCATAGGGGTGGTCTCCCTGCTTCTTTCAAGACTCCTGGGAATCTGTTTCCCGGACAGACCTGTTCTCTGAGCCCAGCAGGAAGTGACTTCAACTCTGCTGGACTCAGAACCCAGACTGGGCTGTGTGTGTGTGGGTGTGTGTGGGTGTGTGTGTACACATGTGCACGTGTGTGCAGGGGCATGCACGCCTGCAGATGCAGCGCTGTGTGGCTGGAGTGTGCCTGTGCCATGCCTGAGTGTCTGCATGGCACCAGGGTCTGTGCCAGGCCCTCACTCTGCCTCTCTCCCCAGCTGCAGAGGTTCTGAGCCCTGTGAACCAGAGTCCAGTGGGATCAGAGTCTACCTGGAGCGTGGATCCCAACCCCACACTCCCACAGTGAGGCTGACACAGGGTGCCACCCTCCCTGCACCTGCAGCCCTTGCAAGCCCATATCACCCGGCATCCCAAGGCCCATGGAGCTGTCACCATCTTCTTGGCTGAGCAAAGGAGGATCCTGAGAGCTTTTGCTGGGCACAGGAGAGCCTGCTCCTGTGCCTGGATGTAGGTGGTGGATCTCTTGGGCTCTGTGCAGCAGCTCACTGGGGAAGCCCCTGGAAGCTGGGCAGCATCCTGCCTGGGTTTCTGTCCATCACTCACACCAGGACAGGGAGACCCGCCCCTGTGGTCTCCAGCTCCTTTCTGCTGCCTCAACTCTGTCCAAACATGGAAAATCTCAAACTTCACAGCCCTTGATTGACAGGATCTGCCCTGCCTCTGCTGCTTATCAAGGGGGGCCCATGCTCCTCTCCTACTGCTGAAACCCCTGTGCTCCAGGGGCTCCCCACTCCCTGAGAGACCCCAGAGCAAGCCAGGGGACCTCCAGCCTTGGCTTAAGTGGACCGTGGGCACACGCCTGTCTTGACCAAGAACAGAAACAAGTTTTGTGGACCCTGCTGCCAGGGCTCCAGGGACCAAGATGGGGGGCTCTGGGTCTGAAATGACGCATCACCCCATGCCCACCACCAGGGGGTGACGCAACCCAGCCGCAGAGGCCCTCAGGGAAAGAAAGTGGGAGCATCACAGGTGCTGGCTGGAGGGAGCTGCTTCCCCAGACAGGACAGACAGGCCCCTCAGACCCCAGACCTCTCCTGGGGGATCCCCCTGGCTCCCCACTCAGGCCCATCCCAACCACCACACCCCACTTTTCTTCTTGGGCTCACATGTGCACGTGTTTTCTTTATTGCAATTGTAACTGTGTTAGTCAGGTTGCCTTGCTGTGACCAAAATACCTGACAAGAACCACTTCAAGGAGGATGAGTTCATTCTGGCTCACAATTTCAGGGGTTTAGTCTGTGGTCAGCCAAGTCCATGGCTCTAGACCCAAGCGAGACAGAACACTGGTGAAGGCGATCCCCCACTCACTGTCTTGACAGGGTCACAGTGAGAAAAAGTGCTGGCCAAGCCGCTCTCCCACTGTCTTGACAGGGTCACAGTGAGGATGAATGCTGGCAAAGCCACGCTGGTTGGTGGGAAACCGAAACCTTGAGACCCTTTTTATGTAATTGGGACTTTTCATTTTCATGCTTATGTTCCTGACAGGAGTCATGAGTATGTTAAATGCCAAACAAATTAAATTTCAGATGGCTAGAATATAACAGGTAGTTCATGCCTTGGAGGCTGTTCTACTACCCCTCAGCATATCAAGGACAAAGTAGAAGGCTGTTCTTCTATCTCAGTACATTGTGGACAAACCTGATAACGGACAACAATCATCCTTTGAAAGGTCATGAGAATTTTAGGCACCACATTGATTATATCAACTAGAACCCAAGCCCATATTTCCGGCCTCTTAGAAAACCTAATCAGTATGCTTATTTCACAAAGTTCACCACATGCAGTTTCATTTTTGATTAAGGAAAGTTATATTATACACTTAGGAAAGTTAAAACATATAAAGATATATTCTTCTCTTTTTATAAACCCTTTCTTACTTTACATAGGCATATATGACGAGCATAGTTAATATTGGTGGAAAGTGGATTGATGTTTAGAACTTACTTTCTTTTGAGAAAGATTATAAAGATATGAGAACTAGTGCACCTTGACTGAGAAACAAAGAAACTCTTTGAGAAAGCAGCTCAACCAGTTTTATGAGAATAAATTTAGGAATTAATTAAAACAGCTTTATAAGACACAGTTTTAGAATAATGTTAGAAATATTATTTTATTTAGATTCTTAAGTTTAGAAATTCTTAAGTTTTTAGTTGTATAGGTTTCTGATATGTTTTAAGAATGATTCATAAACTTTAGGATGTTTTAAATATAAGATTTAAGGGGACTTTTGTAGATGGGTATTTTAGATTAGAAATAAAGTACAAGTGTACTTTAGGTTAATGATTGGTTAGGAGACTTAGAGTCTGGTTACGTAGTTTGGCATTAGTTAATAAGAAAATAACATATCTTGGGAAAAATAGTAAATCTTGGGAAAACCTGAAAAATGTAAATTAGTGACGTATTTTATCAATGATTCTGTACTTTTAATAATTACATAACTGAAGTTCATATCCTGGAAAAATGTAAATTAATGTTACATTTTTTGTACCCCCAATCATGGTTAAGGAAATGTCATGTCTTGGCAAAGTTTTAAATCGTGTAATCGATGACGTGTTCTGAATCTATAATGATGAGAAAAATTGTAATAAAAGATGACCCAGAGAAAGCTGCATTAGCGCTCTCTCTCTGGAGATGGCTCCAATGGAACGACTCCTGTCTCATCTTTTCGCCGACGCCCCTCATCCTTCAGGACTCCCTGGACAGGACACCAGGGCAGGACCCCGGCAGAACACCATGGTGGAAGGATGTGACCAGGGAAGCGGCTCGGCTCGTGGCAGCCAGGAAGCGGAGAAAGGAGGGGGGCGAGAAGTACTGCAGAAAAGACACACCCCTCAGGCACACCAGGGACCCACCTCCTCCAGCCACATCCCACCTTCCCACGGCTACCTCCCACTTGGTCCATTCAAACTAGGATGGACTGGTTAGGTCACGGCTCTGGTGATCTAATCATTTCACCTGCGAATACTTCTGTGTTCATGTAGGAGGTTGGAGGAGACACCTCACATCCAAACCACAACATTCCATCTCTGGCCTCAAGAGCTTATGTCCATCTCACAGTGCGAAATGCATTTAGCCCTTCTCCAAGAGTCCCGTAGTCCCAGCACAGCTTTGCCCAAAGTCCAAGTCCAGAATCTCATCTGAGACTCAAGATAAATTCTTGGCTTTGAGCACTTATCAAAAGCAAGTTACGTCTGTGCAATATGGAGTGGCACAGAGTACACATTCCCATTCCAAATCACAGTGATAAGGGTGCAGAAAGAAGGGATGAGACCAAAACAAGACTGAACCCGTCTGGGCAGACTCCTGGTACAGCATCTAGGACACGTGGCTGCAGGACATGCTCTGCAGGGGTGGGGCTGCCCCACCTCTTTGGCCTTAGTGGTTGTGGCCCTCGTGGCCTCCCTTAGCCTGGCTCTCTCCACAGCCAGCAGGTTCTGTGGCAGACAGTCCACATTACCAGCATCGCTTAATTCCTAGGGTTTCCATTCCAGCTTCGGCTCCACCTTCACAGTTTCATGCGTCGCGCACTCGGGCAGCCCGCGGAGATTCTGACCCTGCTACACTTTGCCTGGCCTCCCAGGTCTTCCTTTGAGTGCTCCACGACCCCTGAACTCCGGCATCCTGCCTTCCTGCAGAACCAGCACCATGTGGGAGACGCCAGGGTCTATCAGTGCTTGGGTAGTGAGCACAGTGAATGGGAAAACGATTTTCCGGGCACCCCTGTGCAAGTAGAAGGTCCCATTTCCTCTTGAAGCAGCTTTCACTCTCACACCCCTGACCCTGCAGTGGGTGGGCTCTTGCAAACTCCTCAGATGCCCTCAAGCCATCTTTCCCAGTGTCTGTGTACAAAGTACTCAGCACCTCTTCAGTGGCTGTGATCCAACAATCGCACCTTCTTTGGCCCCAGTTTTACATGCCCTTTTTTGGCCCAACAGCAAGTTTTTGAAATCCTCCTTCCAGCACCTGAAGAAAATAAAAATGAATAAAATCTTCCTTCTCTGCTTTTTGATCCTGATTTCTCACAGTAAATATGACTAAAAGCCGACAGCAAAATCCATGCCACTGAGTGAATACAGTGCTGCCTTGACATCTCCTCCACCAGGTCAATCAGCACATCATTTTGAAATATGGTCTTCTGAGCTCCCACAGGGTCACCCATTAAGCTCGACTTAGGACTTTCTAAGGTTCTCCAGCCTGCATCTCCAACCTTTCCCAAGCTCCTCCTGCCGAACAGCTCCAAAGTCTTTCTGAACCACGTGTGCCGGTTGGTCACACCCACAGCCCACTTCTCAGTACTAGTTTCTGTGTTAGTCAGTTTTTCATGGCTGTGACCAAAGTACCCACAGAGAACCACTTGGGGCCCACGGTTTCAGAGGTTTAGTCCATGACCGGCCAAGCTGTTGCTCTGGGCCCAGGTGAGGCAGAACATCATGGCAGAAAGGTGTGACAGAGGGAATCTGCTCAGCTCATGAAGCAGAGAGAGGAAGGGGCGAGAAGGTATTGCGGGAAGATGCACCCTTGCAGCCACACTCCTCCAGGCCTGGCCTCCACGCCCACCTGGCACAGTTACCACCAGCCAGCCCGTTCCAGCTGGATGGACTGAGGAAGCCACTTCACCTCTGAAGATCCGCACAGAGGTGAGCACAGGTGCCTTCAGGGAGCATCTCCCATCCAAACCACAGCAGTAGTTTTGGTGTTTTCCTCCAACATAGGGACAGAAGGCAGAATTTCTTATATATATATATATATTTGTAGATGGACACAACATCTTTATTTATTTCTATGTAGTGCTGAGGATCGATCCCAGTGCCTCATGCCTGTAGCTCCCAACTCCCAGCCCCTCCTGGGGCCCTATCTTTCCCAGCCCCAGAGCCTGGCCCTTCTCTTTCCCCGCCAGGTGTCCCGGGTGCACAAGTTCTGGGAGGCGGCAACCAGGCTGGCCGGGAGCTGTGGGAGGAGTGAGGGGAGGCTCCGCCCTTCTGTGGCAGCTCCTGCCTCCTCCCAGGAACCACCCCTGAGCGCCCCAGCCGGTCACCACTGCTGAGCCGAGGTGCCTCCTGCGCCAGGTTCCCCGGGTGCGGCCTCCCCAGCAGCGAGGAGGCCTCGGCCAGGCCCAGTGCTGATTGGCCAGGGGGCTTAGGCAGCATGGCTCTGCTGCTCCTGCTGGCTAGTGCCCTGTCTGGGACCCTGGCTGCCCAAGGTAAGTGCCTTCCCGCCCCTCCTTTCCCGCCCCTCCCTGGACACACTCAGTGCCCATGTCAGGAACAGGGTTGTAGCCAGGGCTGAGTCTGGGCAGCAGGGTTGTAGGATTTTCTGTTTTCCCTGAGGTAATGCCAGGGACCTCCTTCTCTGCAATTAGCAGTGCAGCCTTGGTCATCAGGAGGACTTTGTCCCTGGTGTCCTTCTAAAGAAGACCGCGGGGAGCCTTGCAGTCAGGTGCACACGTGTGGAGGTGGGAGCCAGGTTGGCGGGCAGCACCTCGTGCAAACACGCAGCACAGCTCCTGGCTTTCTGGGCAGCCAGATCTAGGGCACGGTGAACGGTCTGTGTCTACGCTGGGAAGCTGGGCACCACTGGACCTGGGCCGGTCAGACAGGCTGGTCTCTGAAGGTCCCATGGACAAGCCGGAATGTGCCCCCTCCACAGAGCCACAGGCTCTGGTGCTGCGAGTGGTGGGGGAAACCGAGGCACAGCATTGAAGAGAGGTTCAGGGGAGAGAGGACAGTGGCCTCCAGCTGTGTCGGTGGGACTCAGGAGGGACGTGGAGCCAGGGCGGGCGGCTGGGCGGCGTAGCTGCAGGAAGGAAGCCCAGCGACAGCCTCCCCTGGTGCCGGGTGTGGAGAGGCTGCTGTGGGCAGCCTGGCCCCATGGGCCCCACAGCCCCTGGTGCTGGCCCCCAGAGCTGCCCAGACCCCATGGCGCTGTGGAGCTGAGGGCCTCCAGGCATCCCTGCCATTGTTCCTGCCAAGAGGGTGTCCTCTGCCCCTCTGCCCAGCCCGTGGTGACAGCAGGCTCTTGGTAGAGGTGCAGCAGTCTCCCCGCTACACGACCATCCCAGAGGGGGGCTCGGTCAGCATCACCTGCTCCACCAACGGGACCCTGAAAGGGCTCTACCTGAAGCAAAGCTGGCCCCAGGCCATGTACGTGGTCTACTATGAGGACGAGGAGAGCAGGACCTCCACTGTGGACCCACAGTTCCAGGGCCGCGTCAGCTTCTCGGGGCCTCAGAACAACCTGACCATCACCATGCACCACCTGCAGAAGGCCGACTCGGGCACCTACACCTGCGAGGCCGTCCAGGACTTCCTGGATAGCAACGTCCCAGGCCCCGGCACCATGGTCGTGGTGACAGGTGGGGAACGTGCCAGCTCCTTCCCTCCACGCTCTCTGGAGCCTGACTCCCCAGGCAGCCTGGGGATCGCCCTCCCTCTGCCAGCTCCACAGCCCCTCCTCCCCTGAAGCCCAGGGCCTCTTTGTTCTTCCCAGACACACTGTCCCTGCACAGATGCCAGGAGCCTCCACTGACGTCCCGCGCCCTCCCCGCTGCCCTGGCGGTGGGCTTCTTCCTCATGGGGCTGGGCCTGGGGGTGCTGTGCACGCTGAGAAGGACGCAGGTCAGTGTGAGCTCCGGGTCTGGCCTGTGAGCTGGCCCCTCCCATGTGGGCAAAGAGGGTGGGCAGGATCCCCATGGCCCTGTCTGCAGTGTGGGGCCTCCCCAGGCAGACTCCCCCGCACCTGGGTGACTGAGCCCGGGCTGTTAGAAAGCTGCCCCTGGGTGTGAGCGTGGGAGGGGACCTTGGAGCGGGGCTCCCTGGGGCTGACAGCAGGCCAGCCCCCACCTGGGTAACAGTGGGCCATCTTTTAGATTAAGGGAATGTGCACCTCGAGGAAAAAGAGCCCGTCCAGCGTGGTGTATGAGGACATGTGCTACAGCCGCCGCAATACCCTGTCCACCCCCAACCAGTACCAGTGAGCCCACAAGGCCCTCGGTGCCCCTCTGCCCACTGTCCTTCCGGCCCTGCCTCAGCAGAGCTTGCAGAGGCCCTGCTGACCTGCTGGCCCAGGTCCACACACAGGGACCAGGTTCCTGGGCACTCCCCAGTGGATGGGGCACCTGGTCCAGGAAGCCTCCCTGCCCACCTCCCAGGCCCTCCAGGGGGCCCTGATCATGCTGCCACCAGGGACACACTGCGGCCGTCCTCCCGCTGCCTTTCCCTGCCGCAGCCTAGGAGGGCTCGCTCGGTTGGATGGACTCAGGCGTGTGGCAGGTCCAGAGCTCCTGCAGCCTGGCAAAGGGGGCAGGGGCGGTCCACCCGCCCAGCCTGCAGGAATAAAGTGTCGGTTTTCTCCCTTCCCGACTGCTGTTTATTTGCTCAGAGCCGCGAACCCCTGGGCCTCAGCGAGAGTGTCTGTGTGTGAGTCCTCAGTGAGAGAAGGGATGGAGCCCCGCTGCGCAGACACCCCGAGAAGCTCAGTGGGCAAGGCAGGCTGCTCGCAGGGCCTCAGCCGCATGCAGCCTCCCTGCTCAGGAGGTCAGCATTCCTGGCCCCCGGGCCAGCGGCTCCCAGGGCGGCACTCGCAGACAGGAGCCCTCATTTCCCATTTGTGGGGAGGGAAACTGGCACGGGCACTCTGCTGACA